TTTCCGTTAGTAGCTTTATCGTCGCTAGCTTACCTTCTTTTAGACGAGAAGGCGAGAGGAAAAAGGGAGAGAGAGGGAGTTGCTAAACGAATTTAATAAATCCACTCGTCCGATCTGTTTGCCTATTCTAATCACACTTCTACTTCGTTCTCGTCCCCCACCCTTCTCCGCTCCCTTCACCCCTGTCGCTCGCTATTTCATTTCCTCTCTTTCTATTCTTTCTTTTCGCCATTCTCCCTCGGCACCGACGATAGCATAATCCAACCTTCCCTCAAATCTCAACTGTCCAGTATTTTCGCGGGCATTGTCTACTTTCACGTGCAGTAGGATCTATTTTAGTCTTTGCCGGCGGTCGCTGTTCGGCGCCAACCCCTCCGCCATGATGATGCATCAGGTGGATTACAACGTCGTATATGTGGACCGTCGGGCTCGGCGAGATAGAGTACAGCACCGGGATGATTTGTTGCCATCGCCTATTTCGTCCGGACCCGAATCATCGGATGGGAACGACGAAGCACAGAACGAAAACGAGGAGGTCATTCATAACCTACAATGTTTGCTTTCGGCCTTTAATTCTGGTTCGTATCCCACTTCCCCCTCCCCATTTCCTTTCCACTCAAGGTATGGAGAGGGGAGGTGAAGGGAAGAATAATTCTGATGGTGATGTTTTTAAAATAGTGACAATTTGTACAACTGGGACTTCCTGCGTATCGGTGCTTTCGGATGTCGACAGAAACGACCCGACGCCTACACTTGTTTTATTAGATATTCCATGGCAACCTCAACCGGAGGAGGATATCGTCGGTCATGAAGGGAGGCATGATTCCGGGATCGCTGCTGACATGCTATACGGGCTTCCCCTGCTGAAGTTTATCTGCAATGAGGTTGACGCCTTACGTATGTCGAGTTTGGTTGTCCCGGTTACCTTCTTGACCAATCGAGAGCCTGCAGCCGCCAATGGGACTCTTCCAAACCAAATTTGCTGGTCAACTACCGAGACGGAACGATGTTGCGAGGAGCGGGAGCTCAAGTGTATTGATAATGGTGCCGTTGACGTACTGGTTAGTCCGATTCCGAGGGAGAGGGCAAAGGTAATGTATATGCATTGCTATCGTGCTAGGAAGAATGTGCAAAAGTCACGTAGGGTCTCATGGGTTGGAATTGATGAGCAAAAGCCCGTACGGGAAGCGAGCGACTATGCTTATTTGAGGGAAAAGATGTTTGTCGAATGGCTTTTCCGCGGCACCTGGGGAATCGGGCGGCTAACGGTTTTAGGGTTTCGGAATTAATGACGGACATCTGTAGGCCCAAGAGGACAAAGTTGTTTTCCCGTGGAAGGTATGCTTACTTTTATCGTTGTGGTCCGTGTCTGCGGGGCCCCTTGACTGATAATATCAGCAGCCATATGCGTATTTCTTCTGGCAATATTGAAAAGATCCAGCTTGCCATTGGCAGTTGGAACTTTTCCGCCCATGATTTCAGTGACGAAGAGCTTGTGCATTGTGCTAAGCTAATGCTGGAGCACGCTTTGGAAATGCCGGAGGTCGAGGCTTATCGGATCTCGTCAGGTATGGTCACAAGCATCGCATGTTCCCACGGGATTTGAGTTTAATTGGTGGAACAGATCGCATCGTGGACTTCTTGACCGCGTGTCGGGCCGCATATAACCCAAAGATACCTTACCACAATTTTAGGCACGTGGTGGATGTTTTACAGGCCGTCTTCTATTTCCTATTACAATTGAGGGCCTTACCACCATACAGTCCGGGCGAGCCTGTGGGGCTTGGGCCACCGCCTGCTAGGAGCCTGAGCCACCTGCTCACGCCTCTAGACGCGCTTACTCTCCTGGTGGTCGCTGTTGGCCACGATGTTGGTCATCCTGGGGTGAACAATGCCTTCCTGATCACCCTGAAGGCGCCGCTCGCCCAGGTATATAATGATCGTTCTGTTTTGGAATCTTTCCATTGCGCTGCTTTCTCTCAGGTATTGCGGAGGTACTGGCCAAAGACAGTAGAGCTTAGGAAATCGATAATAGATATGATATTAGCAACGGATATGGGGTTGCATTTTGATTACATGGGGCGGTTGGACGAGATGAAGGAGAAAGTTCTGAAGGATGGTGGAATGGACTCGTTGAAAGACCAGGCTATCTCGGATTATAGGACCCTCGTCTGCGCTCTGCTAATCAAGTGTGCTGATATTAGCAATGTGGTTTGTTACCTAAAATTCCTTTTTTGGGAAGGCGCGTGGAATACTAATCTTTTGCAGGCACGAACACATGAGTGCTCTTCCCAGTGGGCTAAAATTCTGATTGAAGAGTTTGCCCGCCAGGCGACCATGGAAAGTGATCTTGGAATATCATCATCACCGGTCGCTCCGCCTGTCACTGGGTCTGTTCTTGCCCTTGCAAAGTCACAGGTGGGATTTATGACTTTGTTTGCTTTGCCTTTATTTATTTCCTTGAGCGAAGTTCTGCCAGAGATGCAGTTCAGTGTGGATGTCTTGATAGCAAACAAGGCGATGTGGCAAACAGAGATCGAAACCATCACCTCAGCATCGGATGGAATCGTGGATAAGATGTTTGGCAACAGCAATGGACCGGCGCCGGGATCGCTATCGACAAGCGCCGGCAGTAAGCAGGGTGGTGAAGATTTGGGGGACGGTCGGTTGGGCGGCAGCCACGGAACGCATGTTCTAGGGCCAGTGGTAATGGAGTCGTCTACCACTTTCCAATCATCAGGTAATCTTGGTGGAGGTGGAAGTGAGGCGCGCTTGAATGGTAATTCCCACCAATCTAGCCTTGGCTCATCACGAATTGATTCACCACCAAGGTCAGTTCTGGCTCTTGAACCAGGCGTTCAAGCGTCGGCTGAACAGCCTACGGTCACGGTTGTGGTGACGCAACCGAAAACGCTCTCGCCTGACCCGCACGCGCTCCTCGACGAGAAGAGGCCCACCCATCAGTATTCATCCGAACATCTTGGAACCCAGGAACCCCCCGAACAGGACATCCCCGATCGCCCCAGGTCGAGCCCACCGGATCTGGGCGACCACTCGAGTGAGCACTCGTGCTCGAAGGCCTGCTGCGGACCGACGGCTGTTGTGTCGACAAGCACGATACAGCGCCGTCCGTCCAGCTTTTTCAAGAGAGTCAAATTATGGAAGAGTTGGCGGAAGGAAACAAGTGAAGCATGACTACATGGCAGTGACAATAATAACCACGGCGATGGCAAAAACAATAACAGTAGCAATGGTAATGGCAACAAGGAGGGCACGGGGGGGATATTCTTTGATTCAAAAGCAATATCTGTGCAAGAAATCTCGTCCCCTCTGACCCCAACGCATCCACTCGCTCCACCGCCCTTCGAACACCCGCTTCCACCACCGCCTCCACCTCCAACACTTCTACCGACTCACGTGGTGCAAATGCTCGGCATCCGAAAAAGAAAAAGTTTTCATTGTTTCTAGTTCCTCTTTTTTGCCCTTGTTTTTATTTCCCGCTAACAAAACCCTTTGCTTAGACCTTTTTTCCTCTCTTTTTCTTCTCTTCTCTTTAAAAGGAGGGTTTTTCCGGTTTTTTTCCTTTCTGTTATGGGTCTGGTGTAGGTCTTTGTTCTTTAGGCGTTCTTTCCTTCTTCCTTTTTATATCCTTCACTGCCCCTTTTTGTGCTATTCCCAACCGCTCACCCACAGCGGGAAACGAAAACTTGCCACTGGATTTGGGCATTTTGTTCTTCCTTCTATTCTATTCCTTTTCCGTTTCGTATCGATGGGCTGGGATTAGAATGGGTTGGCTTTGCTCGGGGACTGGTGGGGACAGGGCGAACCGGGGGACGAAAGAGGGCTGGACTACTACTACTTGTTTAGGCTGGGTTGAATATACTATTCTATGATTTTTTGCTGACAGACACAATCAATCTGATATTTTCAACCTATTCTTGTACTGTACACTCTTTTCTCTTTCTCTTTTCTTCCAAGCTCAACGGAGGGATGGGCGGGTGGGTGGAAGGTGTTTAGCATGTGACCATGATCGGTTGATTGGATGTCTTTTCTCCCCTCATGTTGTGTATTTGTAGGACAGGGTAGGGCTATTTCTGTGGTTTTGTGATGTGGGTGGGGTGTATAACTGCCTGTGCTGACGGGTTGTTTTATATATGGGGTCGGGTGTTCTGTCCCCCCATTTTTTTTGTGGATTTGGTCTGATTCATGGATTGTCACTCGGTTGCTTGATTGGGTTGGACCATGAAGGCGGCTTTGGGTGAGCCGGGGGAGGGAGAAGGGACAATGCGTTGAAGGCGCTATGGGTTGCATATATACCATAACTATCAAAATGGCTATCTTGTGGCATGACAATTTACAGGCACTTGAGTAGTGTGGAGGGAGATTTACCCTCATGTCCTGGTTACCCCACCCTGTAATAGAGCTGGTATGATAGGTGGGTAGCTCAAGAAGGTTGCGATGCTGGCTCTGATGTGGTGGCTTCGGCTGGGCACTATGACATCTATTATCAAACACGCACTACGTCAAGCACACAAGCACACCATAATCCCACCTCCATCGTACACGTCACGATTCATTTAGCTCGTGACGGGGAGAATAGTGTGCCTGCCTGCTGCCTGCCCGCCTGCCCGCCCGCCTGTTTACTTGCCTGCTCGCCCGGGGAACACGCACGAGGGAAGAAGTCTATCCTATCCTATCCTATCCCGTGGAATCTCCAATGACGGCCCTGCAAGTATCGAAACAATCACACACCCCATCCATGCCTCTCCCTACTTGTACACACCAAACCCTGCCTCCCACAACGAACCCCACCAGCACACCCTGCCAGAAGTATACTTACCGATCAACTAGCCAACCAATCCACGAAACATGCTTTCCCCGTACGCCCACACCAAAAAACCAAATTTAATCTTGGAGTTATCAGAATGGAAAGTATTCCGTCGAACACAAACGGAATCACTTGGTTATAAGGGTGGCTGGTGGTAGTGAAGTAAGGTGAGACAAGGGACTGCGGGGGGGAGGTTTCCCCTTTCCCTTTTCCTATCTAACTGTGTTGGTGATGGAGGATGGATCATTGGGTATCACTCGTGTGTGCTCGAGCGGTTGGATTCGGGAAAGTTATTATGACGATAATTAGGAATTAGGAGTGAACGGAGGTGAGTTTGGGTTTCTCACTTTTTTATTTTTTACTTTTTTTACTTTTTTCACCTTTTTTTCAGTTCTATTTCCGTCCCCCATTCTCTCTCTCCCATTTTTCCGGTTTCTCATCTCTCTGCTTGTTTTTTTTGTTGGGAGGTGTTTTGTGCTAGGTACTGGGGAGAGGAATGGATGGATGGATGGATGGGTGTTTTTTTTTTTTTTTTTTTGTTATTTTTTGCTTTGTGCATGCATGGTAAATAGATGACCTCTCTCTCGCTTCCTTCCTTTCTCTACTGCATCCTGGAAGTGGTAGTTTTGTGGTGCGCTAGACCGTTAGTGACTCCTCGGTGCCGGGAATTGCTGACAGGATTCGAGTTCTAGAGCATCGGATAGGTGTGTCATGTGTGTGTAGGGGGGAGGGGAGGGGGGGGGGTATTATAGTGGTGGTAATGGTCTTCACTGCGGTATCCAGCTGGAGCTTAACTCGAGCTGGGGAAAACCTTATGATGATGAAATGCCTATCGTACCCGGTTGAGTTCTTTTTTTTTTTTTTTTTTTTTTGAATCTCCTATCTTTTCTCTCGCTCTCCCCAAAGAAAACAAAACGATCAAAAAATAAATGAATATTATCATACAGGATCGCTTCTAGTTCGTACCCACTTTCCCTATACGAAAAACGTGTTTAAGTTAGATGGGTAAGATAACACACCCCCACAGCTATTATCTATCACAGAGAGTCAAGTACCGTAAGTGACTCCGACCTAAAGAGGTACGATACTCGGATAACCTACGAGTACTCACCTACCTAGCTATACCTATGTCGCATACATACTCACCCACCCATCTCACACAAGAGCGATTCATTCAAAAACCAAGAATTAATCACTGACGGAAGAAAGAAAAAAAAAAAAAAAATTCTGGAACACCCCCCCCCCTTAAACCGTTTCTTAAAAGTATAGTATACCGGCTCACGCACCGGCCTTGCAGATGGTTACGTGGAGGCACGGTAACTCAACTCCCGCGTTGCGGGGAGAGAGAGGAAAGGGGGAGGGGGGGGAGTTATCAAGAATTTGACAAGGGGAGTTATATATATAAGTAAAAATTTTGAGAAAGTCTTGGCGAACACGGTCTTGTGTTTATGGTGCTGTAATGTGCTAGTACAGTTGTGGTATCGCTTTTGGTGTATGAATAAATTAAATTTTTTTTAACCTCTCCTTTTTTTTCTCCTTTAACTCGTATTTCTCTCTCGAGGAAGAGCTAAATTATGATGGGTGGGTGGGTATTATTAGATAATATGGAGGTTTTTTGATTTCATCCCGTTTTTCTGGGGAAAAACACTTTTTTATTTTATTTTCAATGTATCCAACCTATCAGTACTCGTAGACTACATGCAATTCCACCCGCTAACTTAACTTATACGACTTATTATTATTGTTATCACAACGACCCCACCACTCGGCACCTCATACCAGTACTAGCGAGAATAATGGACGAGGTTAGGTGAAGTAAGTAAGTAAGGATCATATCATACCGGCTTTGACGTAGTCTAGGTAGTTAGGTAGGTAGGTAGGTAGGTAGGTAGGTAGGTAGGTAGGTAGTCTACTAGGTGGTGAGCTTTCCGGGAATGCAAGGACTTGGAAACTCTAGAGAGAGATCTGTGTGGTCTTTTTTCTTTTCTTTTTTCTTTCGTTCCGCGGAGTGTATGGTGGGTGGTGGTTGGTAAAATGGTGGGGTAAATTCTCTTTTTTTGCTTGGAATGTCCGGCGTGCATTATGGATGGGAGGAGGAGGAGAAGGAGAGGTTGGTTAGGGAGGGGGGGAGATCTGGGATTCGTTTGTGGGGGTTTGTTGTAGACTTGTTGGGCTTGAGCCTTGGTTGGTTGGTTGGTTTCGACCCGTTGCTGCGATCATTTCTCTGGTCTGGGGTTGCCGTAAGCGTGATAGTCTAGGTCTCTCTCTCCGGGGGGATGGGCTGCGTTATCGTGCTTATATCCGCCACGCTATGATGCATCGGGTTAAGAAGGAGGTCTATCTCACTGTAAAGTACTATATGTGCTTTCTTCTCTCAGAAAAGGGTATCCGTCCTTTTGGTGCTCGGTCCAAGAGATCTGGTTAGGAAAATGACGGGATCCGGAAGGTATCCTTCCTTAACTGGAAATTTGTTACAAGGGTTTCAAACTGAGACCTATTCCACCCACCTCCTGGCCGCTCTGACGAACCAGGGGGTAGGAGCCTACTCGCTGATAATTGGCACAATCGGAAACGGCCGCTGGCCCGTTTGGAAGTGTCTGATTGCAACTAATACATTATAAAGCGGTACTGTAATACTACGCTAATTTACATAATAGCCGTGGCCCAACACGTGTGGTGTCACAAAGAATGCGGTCCAGAGTATATGGTAATTGGAAGCTATTTACTTATTTCCCTGGGGGCCTGCGTTGTTTCGGTGTAACGACCAGTATTGCGGTCCGATGAGCGGGCGGTAATGCGCGACGCGGGAAGGAGAACAGGCCGAGAATGTACTATATGTGCGGAGATATCTCCGGGGGAAGGGTTCCAAAGCCTGGCGGAGGGAAGTCCAACCTAAAACCTATGCGTATTGTACAAGTATCTTATTCATATCTGGCACAATCCAACCAGGGCCCAAATCCCGAGATAGCCAAAAGCTTAAAACCGAGCTGGAGTGACCCTTCGTTCTAAACACCTTCTAATGCCTCGAATAACCGGGATGATATCAAGCATGTATCAAGTCCTCCATGCACGACGCGGACATATAATCCGCCCGGAAGTGTTTGGTAATGGACCTGACGTCAATCTCGGCACGAAAAGAAAAGTATTCCTTCAACTGGCAAAGATGGAGAGCCTCGCAGTTGTACACACTAATGCCTTTTTTCAAAACAAAACAGGAAAACCAACCAACCCCCTATTTTCCTCGACAAGTCCCCACAGGGTGATGAAGAGCAAGAAAGTCACAAACAAATTGATCACGAACGAATTGGTCGCGCATGCGCGGGAAATGTTTGACATTCTAAGGTCGCGTCCACCATTAATCCGTCATGCCATACCCCAGCCAAGTCAATTACTAAACTCCGCCCGAAAAAAAAAAAACCTGAAAGAGAGTCGGACCGTAAGATGTGTTTAGGCGGTCTCGCGTTTTCCCTCCTTGAGCTCTTTCTGTCGAGGAGTTAGTCACCGTTCGTACGAGCCCGTAGGATGCGGTTATTGGGGAGGGGGGTATAGATAGAGAGTGGGTGTACCAAGGCGTTCATAGTTCCGTGAAGAGCATGTCTGGCAACTCTATTAGCACGAGCGTCCATCAAAGGAAATTGGCAAGTAAGGCAAACCTGTGGTTCCTTCGGAATTTAGGATCGGTTCCCTTCAAGGAAGGATATCTATAGGTCTTTGGTTTCTTGATACCATTCCTGTGCGCTATTTTCCACCAACATCAAATTAGTTCCTCGGACCTCGCAGATCCCGCCCGAGCGAGACTCTCATGGAAATACCTTTCGCGCTGTTGTTATGCTGAGACGAGTTCTTAGACTTGGCCATTACGTGAGGCGGATGATAGCAGATGTGTTGTTGGTGATGATGCTTTTGCTTGTTCAGCGTTAGTATGAAGGTATGAAGGTTGGATTGGCAGTTGTGTGGAGGGAGTTGGTGTGGGGAGTCACAGTTAGGGCTTGGGCCCTGTGGCTAGTTGTGGGGTTGTTCGGTCTTGAAGTCTTGGCGGGACTAGGTTGCACAAACTGGCGAGCTGGGTCCCATGATATGCAGCCTTAACCTTCGGGTTCGGAGATTCAAGTATGAGGATCGTTACTGGGGGCTTCGCTTGACGATCACCACGAGGTTATAAGCAGAAAGTGATCCCTGATCTCTAAGCTAAGGTAATTTGAACCCTGGTTATGAGGGCGTGGATAGTCTGCCATAGCCCCCGGTATTGATATTGGGCTTGTCACCATCGTATTCAATGTGTTCCTGGATATCAATTGGGATTCACGATTTCTAGTAGATTTCACTTACGGGCGACACTGGATCTGACTATTTCTTTTTTTTCTTTTTCTTTGGCACTCGGCTAGCATGCTCTTACATTACTTTCCAATTCACCCAGTATCAAATAGATATCCAGCCAGTAAAACCCCCGCTAATAAAATAAATAAACAAAAACAAAACTATGAAGGCAAGCAATCATCTCTATCATAGAAAAGCAAAAGACTGTCTACCACCTATCATACATGAACCTAATCCCCTAAATTTTCACAACAAGCGGTAGAGTACCGGCAGCTTTAGCTAACCGCTTTGCCCGCATCTTCTTGAACCATCGGAACAACAGGATGAAGATCAATTCCATCCTAAAACACCCAAGTCAGCACCTATCCAGAAATACCAAATAATTTCCATGTAACCTTACCTCTCCTTGCTCATCATGAGAACACCCTGGACTAATAATCCTTTCACAAGCTGGGGTCCAATACCCTTGAACAGTCCCAGAGCCCCCTCCTTTTCAACAATCACCTTCATAACTTCCCCGAAGCTCTTGTATGCCTTCCTTCCTGGAGGAGGAGCACTCTGCAGCCCAACCTTGGCTACAATCAGTGGCTGGGTAGCTAGTGTTGCCAAACTTTTGCTAAGAGCACCGAGCAAGAAAGCCTCCCCAGGGCTCAACCTATCCCTTCCATTAAACAGAATCTGCTTCAATCGTTGGTAACACCCGTATGTGATCGCAGGATTAACAACCAATACAAGCGAAGCTTTCAACCCACGCCATAAACCCGATACACCATCTTCGCCGATGACTTCTTGGGCGGTAGCGAACAAACCAAGTGGTTCCGCACTGTACGGGCGGGTCTGTTGTCTGGTTGTCACGACGGCAACGGGGATAGTAAACAGCTGCGCTAGGGCTCCCGCTACTGCTCCTAGAGACAGTTCAACGGCGGTAGAAAGTGCACTGGTTGTCGATTTGCTCAGGTAGAAGTTCCGAACGAGAGTGTACCAGTAGAAATATGCGAAATTTGTGCTCGCAACGCCGATTAAGGAACCTATCATTCCAGTGTAAAGCCCATTGACGCCACTCTTTGCAATGATCTTCTGAATCGCGTCGATGGCGGAGGTGTAAATCTCCCCTTCTTCCTCGTCACACCTGGGAGAATTCCGGTTAGACTACTGTTCTCTGAGTGGAACCTATCTACAGTAAGAGGCTTACCTTGTCACATCCCCATTCTCCAACGACTTCTCGGTGTTTTTCGGTTTTCGCTTGACCTGAACCTGAACCTGAAGCTTTGTCTTTACTCTACCAACACCCCCCACCCTTCATTAACCTCTCATTTTTCTAAGTATTCCTACCCCACAAAAAAAAAAAAAAAGACCCAGAGAGAAGAACGTACATATCCAAGGGATAGACCGCAGCGTTCGCCAATACCGCACCTGTCGCACCTGCAAGAGCATACCCCCAGCTCGGCAGCGGGGTTTCCTTTGATTGCCCTGCCATCGTTTTGTAGAGAGCGTGCGGGAACAAAGAAAAGGAGAAATGAAGGCTATGATAAGGGCATCCGCACGGGCCCAAGAAAGCTGGTTGATGCGGACCCGCGCGGTACCGAGGTTGCTTGGGAATGTCTCGTGGGCATGTCCAAACTATGTCATTGTGGCGTTAACAGGGGGGATTGCTTGTGGCTTATGCGTGAAATGGGGAAGATATGAGTGAGATTGTGTGGGGCGGTGGTTACCCGGTACCGAGAGCTGCTCAATTACTCTGGGTAGTAAGTGTCTTGCAGACTCGAGGCTCGAGTATTTGATCGGCGGGTAGGGATTAAGAAAGTTTGTATAGTAGGCCATTTGCCCCGTAAACTCTTTGTCCAACACTGGGGGCTGCTGGGAGTGTATGTTTGCGAGTGAGAGCGTACGCTACTATTGTGGCGGATACCGTAGTGTGCAACGTTCGGTAAATTATCTTATAACCTTAGCCGGAGTCGGGTCCTACAGCCAATAAATTTAGCGTGGCGCCAAGATGGCCACAAGTACTGAGTACGATACCGTAGACTACCCGTAGATCACGATACGATATCAGCGATTACCTAACCCTAAGACTTCACTCTCCATAACTTACTGCAGCGATCATTTCCGTTGCAGCGAGTCTACTATGATATCAGAGTTTCTGTTCTAGGACTATCCCAACACCAAAATTCAAGCTATTTGAGCGCAGAAGGGATAAATGTCACCCTTTTGGACGTCGTGAGGAAAGCATTACTGTCGATGCTTGTTAGACGCAATGATCTTTGGAAAAATATTACTCATGAATCTTTCTCTGGCTTGCGTGGGGTAGCAATTAAAAAAGCTGTTATAGCCTGTCACTAAAGCTTCCGAAAATGGTGTTCTCATTTACTTACACTTGTTAAATGAGAATATAGAGTGATAATGGTATCGGGCTCGTTTGGGTGATTTGGGATTCATGGGTTGTCGGAGTGTCACTTTCAGTGTCCTCACAAGATCTACCCCTCATGATACTTCAGGGGCGATACCTCATGCTACTATTTATCCTCGAAAATCGTGAGCGCTTGCTAGATTGTAGCAAAGATTGATCAATTACTGTAGAGAGTCAAGTCTCAGGTACATAACAACCGTCCCTTAGCGTATCATGAGGAACTGTAAAAGATCGAAAGGTAAAATAAAACACTATGAAACAGCGTAGCTACTACCTAAGGGAAATGGGGTAATAGTAGAAGGGGAGGCACGCTTCAGTCATTTATCGTAATGATCTTCCAATTCTAGGAATTTCAAAAACCACAGAATTAATGCTGTTCAAGTCCACCTCTAAGTTTTTCTCCGAGTTTCCGCAGTAGCTTGCATGAATTCAGCCCAGTGAGACTCAATCCTAGCCCTTTTTCGATCCCTGGCTTTAAGTTGCCACTCCGCAAGGTTTGCCATGAAGTTCCTAAGTGCGGCTTCTAGGCTTTCGCGTGGTGAATTCAAGTTAGTATATTCCTAAATAAGTACATCTGCAGCCATAAATAATGGAGGGGAAATTCCAATCGTACATCTTCTTATCCTTTGGGTCGAGGTAATTGTATTTGCCAGGGGAGGCTTCAGCAAAGTAAACGGGGCCTAGATTTTCCATAAGGATCTTCTCAAGAAGTGCAGTCTTGGAACCGGCCCAGGGCGGAGGTCTATTGCAGAAAAGGGGCATGTTGTTAGCAAGATATTCACGGAGGACATCTCGAATGGTGTAAGTTGCCAAGATGGAGACATCCGCGCGCAGAGAGAAGAGCTTCATCGCTTTGTTCAAGCGGTCTGTAAGAGTGTGAGAACGGCGTCTCCCGATACCTCCGTTTGTAGTGGGCATCCCGAAGTCAATGATGAAGAGTGGAATGAGTTAGTGCGAATATCTGTTTAGAATTTGTTGTGTGTCAGAGTATGGCGTTGGGACGGAAAGGAAGGGGGTGTAGTGTTACGATAAAAAAGGAGGGGGATAAAGAAGGTGAGTATTATACGATAAGAACTAGTAGTGCCGGGTTTACCCTTCCGTAGATTTCTGGATTCAAGCGGAACCGCCCTTCTCCTCTTTCATTATTATAATTTATTTCTTATAAATATTATTATAGTAACATTGCACTCTCTCCTTCTCTAGTACTTGAAGTGAGGGAAATAAGAAAAGAGATGCCTAACTTACTTCTGGTGTTGGGAGCATTGCTATCATCTTGGAAGGGGATGCTAGCCTGTCGACTTTCGAGTCTGGAGCTAATTCTTTTTCAATTGGGAGTACAATTAATATATTCTCCTGGCTGTTTGGATTGCCAAATACGTATGTACTGAAAATGTGCGTTTTTCCGGCCGGGGTCAATGTATTCGACTTGGAGTTCTTATGGACTTGAAAGGATTAGGGGAGAGAAATTCATCTTCCTGTCATTCATTTCCAAGTATGTTGAATAGCCTATGTATAAAAAGGAAGCAGATATCCGTTGATCCTAAATAATGTTATTCACAAATATTTTCAAGAACCATCCTCTCTCTCTGCGCTTCGGAAACTGCTGTGGAGGAGGGTCATGGTTAGTGGGGTATTTTCTGTCGGTCGATGGGGTTTTACCCTGTGGAATTTCCTGTTTGGGAGACGTCTTGACGGGCAGGATTTCCTCCCTTATGCCCGTCTCATGTTTACAAGTTATACCGCATCCTTTTCACATCAGTTTTAATCATGCCAATCATCCATCTAAATCGGTTTTGACTCCAACTCTTTTGCTTCTTCTTTTATACCGTATTATGTTCTATGATATTATCAAGTTTCTATAAACTAGTCCAAAACAGATTAGTTTATAGCATAATGTTTCATTAGCTTTAATTCAAATATCGTAAAAACTCGAGTAATTGGACACTGTGCAAGACGGTTAAATTAAGGTGTGAAACCGCTGCTCATGTCTTGAAAGTGTCTTTAAGGTAAAAGAAAATTATAAATCAAAAACATCAGAACCTTACCTGAACCTCATAATATTGTGATTCCTGAACAAAATGTAAACCAATACACAATTAATTTCTAAATCACATTCTCTTTATCTAACAAAATATATTTCATAAAACCAGCAGCCTCCAGCCAGTATCCTCATGCCATCTCAGCCCTATGGCCGTTTACGCATTCAACCCAATCTCCCTCCACTGCCAGCAGAGCGATTATATGCAGGCATAAAAAACAAACAGGGCTAAAGAGGAAGCCACTAGGGCAGCTCTTAAGGTTAGGGGAGAGAAAGGTAGCAAACCTATACTGTTCCTATACAGTTAATTTTAAGTTATGTGTACTATCTTATTGGATGAGAGAAAACATGCAAATCAACTCAACTAAGGTATGCGAGCCAATAAGAGCAAAGATTACCTGGAGGTTTAATATTCTAGTGACAAATCTGTCAGGCTGGAAGAAAGTGAAGGAAGAGGGAAAGTTTGCTGTAATAAGAGGAGGTCAGTGGAGAACAATGGGAGGAGGAAGGGGGAGGATGTGGCCTGAGATAGAGAGAGAGCGTTTTGAAAGATTCTGGGAATGAAGGGCATTGGAAAGGCCAGTCCGACGGGGCTGGTTTCAACGAGTAAGCTGAGACCTTTTTCTCAAGCACTATCTGAGTGCTGATGGCACTGTAAGTACCTACACCTTCTCAAATAGCTGGTTTCGCTGATATCTGTCATGCCATCAAATTAGTCTGCACTTATCCACGAATAAAGCAAGTCAACTCACTAGTGAATTTGTTAATATGATAGTTAGTTGGCTACAGTTTAATTGTCATATCTTCCAAATCCACCTAAATGACAATGTGAGTAGGGAACTACTTACCTCTCACCAAGTTGGTCATTACAGGTTACAGAATATCTGTGACATGGATCAAACACTGATTCTATTGGAATACCTAGAAGGCCAAACCTACAATCAGATTGGTGACAAAACTATCTGGATCTAGGCCAGCTGTTCAGGGTGGGATAAAAGACAACGGACTCTGCAACTTACTATTTTGTAGATTGGGTTCTATGAGTTAAACCTCTCCTCTTCTTCTGTGACTAAGGAACTGGCCCCACCATGAACTCAGAACAAGCTTAATATGATGATCAGGTTGTTGTAAAATTCAACCTGACTAGATATGCCAACTTGAGCAACTCATTCCTGTTCTTGAAGGTCAGCCCACTCTCCTTACAATATATTTTTTTTCAGGACATAAAACTGAAGAGGTTTTGGATACCTTTGCTGCCCATGATATTAAATCAAGTGTAATACCTGGAGGCTGTACAGGGCTTGTACAGCCTCTTGATGTATCAATCAACTGTTTCTTTAAAGATATAATTAAGGTTAGTACATATATATTCAAGATAAGAGAAGGGAGAAAACTTATCTTTTTTTGTTTTTCATCTGTTTCATATGGGAGACAATGGATGAGCAGTTAGCAATTGTAGAGAATGTGGAGGAAAAGGCACTGAAAGAGGGGAGAAGACTTACTGGGAGTATGATAGGTGGGAGGAGAGTAGTCCTAACATGTGTAGTTGTTGAGGCGTGGGAATGCTTTTCAACTGAGACGATGGAGGTAGTTTACTGGGCCTTCTGTACTATTGGTCTCTTACTCCCCATTGATGGGAGTGAGGATAATGAAATATCTATAAAAGGATTAGCAAATCATGATCATGTAGAAGGATTATGGGATAGGGAGAGGGGATCAATGGAGGAGAATAAGATTGTTGATAGATTGGATAGTAGTGTAGAGAAAGAAGAGCTAGATTTTCACTATGAATAGATTGCCAAGTCTTGGTGAGACTTATATGTGTGAATTTCACGCTGATCTCTTGGCAAAATATATCTTAATTTAACTGTCTGGCACAGTGTCCAATTATTCGAGTTTTTACTGTAACAAGTCAATCTCCATTATAGACTAACAATAGTATATGAAACCTAAATACAATGAATTTAACTATAATATGGTTATTAGAGTCATTGTAATTTATTATCCTATTAGTATGCTTTATTTTTCCCTGAAAGTATAGTAGATGGACATAATATCTTGGTAATCATCTGGTTTCTACATACTTATCTAATTATATAAACTAATAAAAGTTATAGTAACTAGGGAAGTAAATCATAAAAGTGTTATACATTCTACATAGTAAGAAAGAAATCTATAGAAATATAAAAGATAAAAAAAAACACTATTAAGAGCTTTTATACTATTATTTTTCTGTGATAACTACAGCTATCAAAATTTAGTATAGTATAATGAAATTCTGTTATATTC